TCAGAATATTTAAGATTATGATTTCATAACGCGCGTTTAACTATACATTTGAGCACACGAGCACACACACACACACACACACACCGGAATCAGATTATGAAGAATCCAGTGTATTCGCTTGCGTCCTTTTATTTTATGGTTCCGTACCCGAAGCGTACCTAACCAACGGGACTCTATTGCCTGCGCTGTCCGTCCGTCTGTCTGTCAGCGGGCTGTATCTCATGATCCGTAATAGATAGTTGAAATTTTCACAGAATGTGTATTTATGTTGTTAAAAATTAATGGGGCTCCCCTACTAGGAACGTGTATTACGATGGTACGGAACCCTTCATGCGCTAGTTCGACTCGCACTTGCCGGTTATTTTATTATTTAAAGGTAAAAGTAGTGTGACGAGTATTATTATATATTCCTCTTCCACATCCGAGACGTGTGCCTGAGCCGAGAAACTTATCTTAAAAATTCAAATAAATCAGTGGTCTCGAATATAGGAATTAATGCTCATCTTCCTACTTTTAGCTTTAAATAATAAATTAAAAAGGACGCAAACGAATACACTGGATTCATACTCTTAATGTGAACAGAGTAAGGAACAGTCAGTTCTACATTACAACTTTTGTGCTCTGCAATTCCCCTGGTGTTGCGGTTGTTCTGTGCTCTGCAATTCCCCTGGTGTTGTGGTTGTTCATGGGCGGCGGTAATCCCTACCATCAGGTGAGCCGCATGCTCGTTTGCTCTTCTATAAAAACAAAAAAACTTCACATGTCGTAACACTTCTAGCCGTTACCGCTCGCAGTGTCAACTAAAATAATTCATAATCGGATTCCGGTGTGTGTGTTCTCGCGTGTTCAAATGTATAGAAAAACGCGCGTTATGAAGTCATAATCTTAAATATTCCGAACCGGAATTCAGAACGCTCGTCAGTGTTATTCTTACAGACTCATCATCATCATCATTATAGCCTTTCACAAGTCCACTGCTGAACATAGGTCTCCCCCAAGGAATGCCATAAAACACGGTCCTGAGCCACCTGCATCCATCGACTTCCTGCATGTCTTACCAGGTCGTCACTCCATCTCGTGGGAAGTCGCCCTACACTTCGCCTATCGGTACGAGGCTGCCACTCAAGAACCTTTCTTCCCCATCGGTTATCGGTTCTTCGAGCTATATGGCCGGCCCACTGCCACTTCAGCTTACTAATCCGTTGGGCTATGTCGGTTACTCTGGTTCTACTGCGGATATCCTCATTTCTAAGTTTATCACGCAGAGAAACCCCGAGCATAGCCCTCTCCATAGCTCGCTGAGCGACCTTGGGCTTCCTCATACGGCCAGCAGTGAAGGACCACGTCTCAGATCCGTAAGTCATCACTGGCAACACGCACTGGTTGTACAATTTCTTATTCAGGTTTTGAGGCATGTGTAACGAGATGTGTCGTAGTTTCCCGAACGCTGCTCAGCCGAGTTGAATCCGTCGATTGCCCTCTCGGTCGAAGTTGGACTTACCTAGTCGGACTATTTGTCCCAGGTAAACATACTTGTCAACAACTTCGAGCTTAGTGCTCCCAACAACTACCGGCATAGGTGTGACATGGACGTTAAACATGATTTTTGTTTTGTCCATGTTCATCTTAAGACCTATCCGTTGGGAGACACTATTGAGGTCATTGAGCATGGTGCTTAGGTCCTCCATCGATTCTGCCATAAGGACTATATCGTCGGCAAATCGAAGGTGATTGATGTACCCGCCATTGATGTTAATACCGCATCCTTTCCAGTCCAGAAGCTTGAATACGTCTTCCAATGCAGCGGTGAAGTGTTTCGGGGATATAACGTCACCCTGTCTTACACCTCTCTGCAGTTGGATAGGTTTCGTACTCTGATTCTGTACTTGGATAGCCATCGTAGCTCTACTGTACAAACACTTCAGCACTTCGATATACCGACAGTCAACTTGGCATTACTGAAGGGACTGCAGCACCGCCCAAATTTCGACGGAATCAAAGGCTTTATCATAGTCCACATACGCAAAGCAAAGTGGAAGATTATACTCCTCTGCCTTCTGTATAATTTGCCGAAGGATGTGTATGTGGTCTATGGTACTAAACTTCGGAAACCGGCTTGTTCAGGAGGCTGGAAGTCGTCAAGTCTGCGTGCGAGACGATTCGTAATGACTATCGAAAACAGCACGTAGACGCGGCTCAGAAGGGAAATCGGTCTGTAGTTCTTCAAGAGAGCGTTGTCGCCTTTCTTGAAGAACAAGACCACTGCACTTCTGCTCCACGCCTCCGGAGTAGTGCGACCATGGAGGACGGAACTAAAGAGCTTCTGAAGGACTTCAAGTACCGGTTTTCCACCCGCTTTCAAAAGCTCCGCTGTAAATCCATCCTCTCCTGGGGACTTCCCGTTTTTAAGGTGCTGGAGAGCCATTCTAATCTCGCTCAGACTGACGTCCGGGATATCTTCGGAATAGTGTCGGATAAGACTCGCTCTTGGATCGTTACTCACACTTGCGTATGGCTCCAACGATGACGTGTACAGCTGCCCATAGAACCTCTCAATCTCACTTAAAATCTCAGGTGTTCCGGAAACGATGCTGCCACATTCGATCTTCAGCTTTGACAGTTAGCTCTTTCTGGCAGACAGATTTCGTGCAAAGACTTTGGAGCCTTGGTTCCGCTCGATCGCTTCTATAGCTGTATTGAAGTTGCGTAAGTCTCTCCGCATGCGTTTGGAGATCTGTCTGTTCAGTTGCTTGTATGCTGTCAAATCTGTTGAAGAATGTAGTTTCATCTCCCGTCGAACAGCCATAAGATTAAGATTGTGATCGGAGAGTTTTTGTGTTCTTCTGCGGTGGATCTTGCAGGACTTAGCCCCGACCGCATGGACAGTTTCCACGAGCTTCATATCGTCCACTGCATTGCAATCTTCTAGGCACTGAAAACGGTTTTGTAGCTCGAGCAGAAAGGTTTCGGGACTTTGGAACAGAGCACGAGGGGAACGGAGCGTTGACTTCATTAGACGAGACCTCTCCAACTTAACGTTTAGGTTCAGTGTGCCTCTAACCATTCGGTGATCGATACCAGTTTTCATCCTCGCGATCACGGAGACATTACTGAACAGTTGTCGTCTGGTCATCATAATGAAGTCAATCTCATTTTTTGTCGAACCGTCGGGGCTCGACCAGGTCCACTTCCTGTGGGGCCGCTGCTGGAAGAAATAGTACATCATAAAGAGTCCCTCTTTTCCATGAAGTCGGCCAGCTGCTGGCCCCTTGGGTTCCGTTGCCCTATTCCAAATTTCCCTACTTTCAGCTCACCGGTCTCTCTTGTGCCTAGTTTTGCATTGAAGTCTCCCATTAACACCGTATATTGGGTTTTAGAGGAATGCATGGCTCTAGAGATATCCTCATACATTTCCTCCACCTCCTCATCGGCGTGTGCCGAGGTTGGTGCGTAAACCTGTATGACCTTCAGCGAATACCGTTTGGTGATTCTGAGTATAAGGTACGCAACCCTCGCCGACACACTCTCAATCTTTACAACGTTGTTAACGAGAGACTCGTGGACGATAAATCCGACACCTCCTTGGAATAAATGGCCGCCCTCCTGGTGATAGAACAAGTTACCGGATTCGAGGATTACCGTGTCCTCCCCCTCTCTTTGGACCTCGGATAATCCAATAATATGCCAGCGTAACTTGTCTATCTCTTCTTCCAGCTCCTCGATCTTCTCGTCAGTCCTCAGGGTGCGTGCGTTGTATGTTGCCAGGTTGTGTCGTCTTAGGTGGCAACCGAACCTCCACCGGAGATTCTTAGCACCCACTGTCCCGCCGTTACCATGGTCGCCACCGTAGCCAGGAATAGCGGGGCCGCCGGGGACTAGGGTTCGTCTCTTTGTTACTCTCATTATAGGGGGGTATTTGCCATAGTTGCCACGCTTGGCGAGCGGGTTGGCAACCGCAGTTTTTTTATTCTAATTTTGCTGTTATCAGGAAGATGCTGCTGCCCATCTCCTACCTGTTTCCCTTTGTTGCCTTTTACGACACCCACGGGAAGATATAGGGTAGTGGATATTCTGGATTTATTAGAATTTGCATGGTCTGCAAATAATTGTTTTGGCTCTGAGTGTTTGACCATATGTAATTTATTTATGTAAAACGGCTCAACGGTAAATGGGAAAATTCTGAAGGGGCGGGGCTAATTTGCAGGAACCACGGTAGGGATTTTTTTTATAGAATAAGGGTGACGAACGAGTACACAGTCCACTTGATGGCTAGGAGATACTGTGGCTCATAGACATATTTACCCTCGATTAAGAATGAAAATGCAGATGCATTGTCACTCCTGAGGACTAAGATGGAATGTCTCGTTCCCAGTAAAAAGTCTCCGGTTCTCTACACTCGCCATAAGAAACAGTATTAAGCTGCTATTTTACGTTGTTATTCTGTTAAAGCATGATCCTACCCCGATTGAGCCGACCCATTCTACCTACAACCATGATATAGCTGCATTGTTGCTCTATCATATATAAATATTGTATTAATTATCATGCGTGACAGGTGGATATAGTATTGCAGTACCTGATATTGTACACTGTTTTGAATTGGGAGGTTTTACAATATCATTAGATAATTATACCTTTTTTAAATGACAACAACAGAGCGATATGGGTTATTCTGTTACGTCAAAAGATGGATGAAGAAGATGAAAGAGTGTCTCCATACCTTTTGAAATGAAACCTACTTTCGCTGTAATTTGAAACCCGATGAAACGAAAATGCGACACTAAAAAGCCACAAACATATACGTCAATAGGATTTAGCCTATGAGAATGGGATAGAATACTGTATACAGTCTTCTATTCACTCGGTCTCCTTTTTCTGGTTTCAATTATACCGCGTGTGAATTGCACACCTGCTTTTTGGCATTCATATATTTTACATTTCAAATATTTAAACTTTACTTTTGCAGCTATCTAACTGCATTCGGATGCTGGAGCTAAAAGATGAGCAGCCAACACCAGTATATGACGGTGAAGAATACTCCCAGTACTCGCGTGGGAGATATTGAACACATAAGTGAGTAATCTATTTTATAATTTAACAAGTTGGTTTGGCAGATGCTGTTCTGCTCTGTAGGTGGTGCAATGAGTTGCACTCCAAATTCACGTTCAGACTTAATTATATAATAGACTAATAAATAAGTTAAACAAAATATCCCAAAAAAAAAAACCTTTAAAAATGGGGAAACCTATATGGCAATACGGCATGGCGCTGACGGCAGTCGGAGCTAACAATATCGCCACGTGTTCAAAGATACCGTCTCTAACAATGGTGTTGCCAGATTTTAAAAATTTGCTAAAATTTCAGTAAGAGCATGTATTTTAAATAATAAATAACATTTTTATACTCAATAATAATAGTATGATGTTTTAATTTTTTTTGTAATGTGTTATGGGGCCTACATCAGGTCATTTAAGATTGGAAAGGTTATTTATTTCATATTGTACATGTCGTTTTAGGTTTTATTGGCTTAAATTCATAATATAGTTATATAATAATTCATCATGATAGAAACTTTAAGGGCTATTATATCATGCAAATTTTTGTTTTAATAGGTCACTTGTCAGAACACATTGGATCGCTCTGTCTGTCATCGGAGTATTCAGATGTAACGCTTATAGTAGAGGGGCAGCGAATTCCCGCCCACAAGGTGATCCTCGCAGCAAGTAGTGACTATTTCAGAGCTCTGCTATATGGAGGCATGAGAGAAGCCAACCAGGTAAACATTCCTTGATTTATAAATATTTTTTGTATGATTATACATTATTCGTAAATTAATAATTAAGTGATATATGAAGCTGTATCTAAGAGTAGAAAAATAATTTCAGGCTGAAGTTGAGCTGCAAGCACCATTACAGGCTTTTAAGGCTCTTTTGCGATATGTTTACTCTGGTAAGTGATTTTATATAACTATAATATTTGCATTCTTTGTTGTTTTTTTTTTTAATTTAATATAGTTTCTTATTGTGCTTTAACAGAAGTTTAGTATACTAGAGAATTAGCCTTCCTTTTTGTTGGAAGGAATTTTCTTAATAGTGGAACGGCAATTGGTGACCATAGTAAGATCATGATTCTTAGATTCTGTAGCGGGTAGAAGGAAAAGGGGAGAACTCCCGCGGGGCAAGGTGTCAGGCGCCAGGGGAGCGGCCAACGCAACGCTCCGAGTGGTAGCTCAGAGCTATTCTACATATAATGCTTTAATTTGGGAACTTTGTTAGCGCGATTTAGGCTTCAATGTGATTCGCTTGTGGCGCGACGACAGTGCCGCCACAGAGATTTAGAAACCCCACCTGGTTATTTTCTTTATATCTACAATTCTTCTGTCCATATACATGTGACTGAACTCCTAAACAGCTGGACACATTTTAATGAAACTTTATGTGTGTGAATAAGTTGATTCGAGAATGGTTTAGATTCACAATTGGACCCGGCAGGTGGCGTTGTTGTCGAGATCCAGAAATCAACCGTGCGAAGCCAGGGCGGATCGTTAGTATTATTGTAAAATATTGTTAGTTTCTAGGTGGTTATTTTCGGAACGGACATACTTTTTTATTCCAGTAGTAAAACTTATTAAAATCAATATTATAATACTGTATATTTTTTGAAAATTAATCCTTTGTGTGCACTCTGGTGTGTTCTTTCAGCAGTGACAGTAGTACTACCTGAAGGTAGTCGAGCTAACTATGACATTGGGATGTCAAACAAACCTGTCTCTCGTGGCCATGGGTGCTGTAGAGCACCCGAAACGTCAGGAATTAAAAATAAATAAACAAGTCAAAGTAAACCCGATAAAATCCGTAAAAGTACTTTTATTCAATGTGTAGTGTTCGCATATATGTAAAAAAATCATTATGTGACCAAATAATGTTAATCTTTTTAGGTCATATGGGACTATCACTGCTACGCGAGGACACCGTTTTGGATATGCTGGGCCTGGCTCATCAGTTCAACTTCCAGGAGCTGGAGGCCGCCATCTCGGACTATTTGCGCCAGATCCTCGCATTGAGAAACGTATGTGCGGTGCTGGATGCTGCCAGGTAGTTTTATCTGTCTTATCGATGGGTTTATTATCTGTGTTATAGTAGCATGAGAGATTCATCACCTCATTTTGTATAGAGAATGTTGTTAGAATTATCTATAGGTCTTTTTTCTGTGTGATAGTAGTATGAGAGATTCATCACCTCATTTTGTATAGAGAATGTTGTTAGAATTATCTATAGGTCTTTTTTCTGTGTGATAGTAGTATGAGAGATTTATCGCCCCTTTTTGTATAGAGGTGTTGTTAGAATTATATATGGGTATTTTTCTTTTTGCTGTGTGATAGTAGCATGAGACATTTATCGTCCCATGTTGTACAGAGGTTGTTGTTGGAATTATCTATGGGTCTTTTTTCTGTGTGATATTAGCATGAGAGATTCATCACAGCATTTTGTATAGAGGATGTTGATTATATATAGGTCTTTTTTGAGAGAGAGATATCCCCATTTAGTATATAGGCTGTTTTTAAAATTATCGAGGGGTCATTTTGCTGTGTGATAGTAGCATGAGAGATTTACCGCTCCATTTAGTATATAGGCTGTTTTTAGAATTATCGAGGGGTAATTTTGCTGTGTGATAGTAGCATGAGAAATTCATCGCTCCGTACAGTATATAGGCTGTTTTTAAAATTATCTAGGGGTCATTTTGCTGTGTGATAGTAGCATGAGAGATTCATCGCTCCATTTAGTATATAAGGTGTTTTTAGTATTATCTAGGGGTCATTTTGCTGTGTGATAGTAGCATGAGAGATTTAGTATATAAGGTGTTTTTAGAATTATCTAGGGATTATTTTGCTGTGTGATAGTAGCATGAGAGATTCATCACTCCATTTAGTATATAAGGTGTTTTTAGAATTATCTAGGGGTCATTTTGACGTGTGATAGTAGCATGAGAGATTCATCACTCCATTTAGTATATAAGGTGTTTTTAGAATTATCTAGGGGTCATTTTGACGTGTGATAGTAGCAAAGAGAATATAATCACTACGTTTAAGAGGCGGGACTTCCATAGTAAAAATAATTGCATGAAATTACGCCAAGTTACTCTACCAACATCAAGATATAACATTTAGTTTTGAGAAACAGTGCTGACAACATTGACGAATTACAATAGTGTTGTAAATGTCTATCCTCGAATAATTTTATCGATATAACCTTTATCGATATATTGTTTATCGATATTTTTACATAAGAAAAGTTAGATCTCTATACTGAATTATTTATGAGAAATAAACGTGTGGATTGAGTAAAAATGCCGATGAGGATAAGAAATCAATGTATTTTACACACAGCAATTTTTATTTATATCTCTACAATTAAGTACAAAAGTATGTATAAAGAAACTATAAAATAAAAAACGCACTTTTATACTAGTAATTAATTAAGTAAAAAATAAATGACGACTCCGTAGCGCAGTGGCTAAGCGTTTGGCTGCGGCATTGCAGGTCCGAGGCTTCCTTCCCGCACTGAACAATTGTTGCTATGCTGTAAAATAAATAATCTGCATCTGGATGCTTGTTTTCAACGTTAGTTTTTTTAAGGGTAAAAATATTAGGTTTTTAATACTGATTGGATTAAATTGCTTTTATGTGTAACAAATACTATGTACAAATCGCTAGGCTTCTTCACAGAGGTACCTATGTACATACTATTCGCAGAGATCGTTTACTAATTGTCGCTTTCAAAATAAGTGCTCATTATAGCTAATGTTTATTGATGAATAAAATAATGATTTAGTTATATAATCTAATTCTTGCCAAAATGTGACTTTAGAGGGATATTATCTTTTGCTACATGTAAATGAAACCTAATTAACATACACATAAATTGTGGAAGTTTAAAGTAAGTCCACTAAAGAAATAACAGTTCGTTTTAGTGGGGTTCATATGCAATGTTTGTCACAAATATGTCTTAATATGTGAATCTTTTCAATTGGTGCATGTGCCAGCCATTTCACCCATTGCTTGCATCTGAAAAAATAATATAAATAAAATCAAAACAATAAAAAAAAAACAAATAGAATATTAGCAGTCAGTTTCTAAGTATAGTTCGTTTCGGATTGCCAAACCATGAACTATCAGATTTAGGAAATAGTGTGTTTGTATTTGTGCACATAATCGTACACTATAAAACATGTCCTACGTAAATGGCTAGTCCAAAAATGTACTCGCGTTGAATATCATATTACTATTAAAGTTGAAATCCCCACATACCTTTCATCATCTAAGGGAAATATTGTTACGAATAGCCTTTTCTTGTTATCATTTTTTCCGCTTCTTGCACCATTTAATTGGAAAGTTTTATAATGCATATTTAATTTCTTAACAATTCTGTAAATGAACAACGGCTCCTATAGCAAAATTAAAAGCAATCTTAATTAATAAAATATATACAAATATAATTGTTTGATTTGACATTTGAACCTATTTCATTTGACAATGTCGTTAATAGACATATTACGAAAAGCATAAAGAAGAGTAACCGTCATTAAAATTTGACCCCTGTAGTACATATAATTTTTACTATGGAAGTTGCACCAGCCTGGATAGTAGCATGAGAGATTCATCACTCCATTTAGTATATAAGGTGTTTTTAGAATTATCTAGGGGTAATTTTGACGTGTGATAGTAGCATGAGAGATTCATCACTCCATTTAGTATATCAGGTGTTTTTAGAATTATCTAGGGGTCATTTTGACGTGTGATAGTAGCATGAGAGATTCATCGCTCCATTCTGTATATAGGATGTTTTTAGAATTATCTAGGGGTCATTTTGATGTGTGATAGTAGCATGAGAGATTCATCACTCCATTTAGTATATAAGGTGTTTTTAGAATTATCTAGGGGTCATTTTGACGTGTGATAGTAGCATGAGAGATTCATCACTCCATTTAGTATATAAGGTGTTTTTAGAATTATCTAGGGGTCATTTTGACGTGTGATAGTAGCATGAGATATTCTTCGCTCCATTCTGTATATAGGATGTTTTTAGAATTATCTAGGGGTCATTTTGCTGTGTGATAGTAGCATGAGAGATTCATTACCCCATTTTTGTCTTGAGGCTGGAGGGTATCGTAAGAAACGATTTAAAAAATGTCAGAAAGCTTATGGCCTTGATGCAGCGGCTCCCACATATCAAAACCGAGTAAAGACTATAACTTTGTTTTCAGGAGATTGACCACATATAAATCGAAGCAATTCTTGAAAGGTTTTTATTATACGTATATTAAAGGATTTGAGATGTTAAATTTTCTAGTTATTTTTAAGTGTAACGGCCACAGTTTGCGACTCGTACAGTTTCTTTGATAGTTAAATTATTTTATAGCTATGTAGTTTAAAGATAGTTTAAGACGATAGCACGTAAGTATGAGTGGTGTATAAAGTGAGCACACGTGTTGTTACTTTAACAGTGTAATAACACACCGAGTTTAATTTGAAAATGGGTGCATTATAAATGGTTCGAGGTGCGACGGTTCGAATCGCGTCAGCATAAAGTAAAATGTATGGTTTTTGGACCGTACAGTAATTAATGTAATTGTAGTCTTTCTATAGGGAATTGCTATGTAAGATTTTGAATAAAATACATTATTGACACTTGCTGGGTTTTGATATGCGACAGCCGATTGTAGTAAGTATAGCCACAGTCTAACTACTACTAACAGTCGGTCATCAAAGGCGTCTAGACGGGGCAATCGTGCGGCGCAATGCGGAGCGAGATGCGGGCGGAGCGCTCCCGGGGCGGTCTTTAGTCGCTTGGGAGCTGTCCACTAGGGTTGTACTGTCACGCAAATAAATTGAAATGGTTCATATTACATGCGCGGTAAAAACTGTGGATAGTCCCGATTTATTTAAAGATAATGATTTAAAGTTTCATCAGTTTCCTCATACACAGGAATTTGTTTAAACTTGAAATAAAATAAAATTATTTTTTTATTATTTTCTTTTCTGACAACCCTAGCCTAAACACTAAATTATTGTTTAAGTTGGCTTTTCCGACAAGATCGAACGCGATGACTTGTCTTGATGAACGCTATCCCGCAAATACCGGCTGTAAAATATATAGACTGACTAGGAACAATATCTAAGGTGCAAGACGCTAATTATGGCGATTTTGACGATTGAGACGATATCCTCCCACAATAGGAATAGAATAGAATCATTTTTATTCAATATAGATTATAGTACATAATACTTATTGCTGTTATAGTTACAGTGCAGTCGCGGTGTACCCCACTACCTCTTATCATCCCGTGGGTATCGTAAGAGGCGACAGAGGGAAACAAATCAAGTGATGGAAAGCAGCGTCTTCCTAATTACGACTAAAAATAAAAAAAAACTGTGTTTGCCAACCCGCTTGCTAAGCGTGACCACTAGGGCAAATATCCTCCCTATGAGGCAATCTAAGTCCTCTCTCCCTATGAGAAGATCTATAGACCGTACTTACTCTGACTTTGCTCAGACTTTACTTACGAAAAAATTTAGCTGAGTATACGCTTAGCATAATCTTTGGTTCTGAATTTGTTGATGTATCGGGCTAAGATTAAGCTAAGGCTCAGACAGTCAAAAAATTAATGGATGCTTTATTCTACGCATTATGTTCTTGATTTTATTGTATAAAATTAAAAAAAATATATATTTAAAAAACGAAAACAGTCCAAATTGTATTTCATAAGTAAGTTATTATTATATGAAATAGAAAACGAGTGTATGAGAACGGAAACGGATGAGGAGAGTGCAAAATCATAAAAAAATAAGGTTTTATGAAAGCTGCCGAAATAAGTTTGAAATTACGTTAATAGTAAATGGTATAATGCTATTTAAAGACGGTCTAAAGCTACATATTTATTACTATAAATATAAATAACTAGAGTAACATAAAAACAACAATTTAAAATTAATACGGTGGTTTGGGATAATATCCTGAGTTTTACGTAAGTCGTCGATTTCGTTGGCTTAGGCTTTGCTAAGCGCGCACTTAGCACAACTTCGAAATCAGCTCTATAAATACCAACATTGTTTTAGCTCGAAAGTAAAGTCTGATCAAAGTCAAAGTATCTCAGCCTATGGGGGAGATTGTAAGGGTATCTGCAGTAGTGAACCGTTATGGGCTGACGTAGAAAAAGATTCAGTCTTGTGGGTGTCTTAAAGGAGGGTAGGAGTATTTTAGAGTCAGGAATTATGGCGTCATTGATTAGAATGAAACTATTTCTACGGCTTTTATCGTTTTAAATTATGTCGAGAGATTGTTCACTAGTCAACATAAGTGACTCTGACAGAATATCTGCTGGAACTCTGTTACTTTAGCATTATGCTGAGTCGGTGGTCTTTTTGTTGCTGCAATCCATTTTCTTTTTCTTGAGCAAAGGTGCAGTAACAATTAAATATATTCTTTTGTTCTTTCGTTTTTGACTTATTTCATATTTCCGACGTTTTCACGTAATTTACAGCAACCATGGTCACGTGGGGGTGTGGGGGGGGGGGGTGAGACCAGTCGTATGGTTTACATAATGATTTCTTGTGTTTGCGCGAGTTTAGTTTTACAGATTATATAACGTTATGTGTTGTGTACTTAGTTTAGTATTACCCATGATCCCGCTATGGGTGCTGTAAAGTACTGTGAACGTCGGACATATAAAAAAAAAACGCGAGAAAATCAAAAACATTACTTTCATCAAATCGGTAGATTAGAATTAGAACCATAGAACTGCATAAATCAAGTCTTTGTTTCGGTGCACATATTGCAACAATTAATTGATTTGAAATCAACCAATAATGCTTCTACTTCACCTGAGGATGCCTCGTAGAGAGGCGAAACACTTGTCGTATTATCGACGTTGGTGTGTCTTGCCTAGTGTAGTGGTGTTGGGAGTAGCGGTACTGGAATTAGTTGTGACAGGGATAGTGCACTCAATTGAGGGAGGGCGAGAGATGCTCTTCAAACTAGGTAAGACACATCTTTTTTATTACTACGCGGATCTTAGGTACTTAATTTTTAACATGTTTAAAATAATTGTTTGTTTCAGGCTCTACGGGCTGAATGCGCTAATGGATTATTGCTACAACTTTTTGGATAGGAACGCCACCGAGGTGCTCCAGCACGATTCCTTTCTGCAACTATCCGTTGTAAGTTTAACTTACAATCGTCGCTTATTTGATAGTGGCGGTTCTCTTGGCTTATTTAGACGATAATGTCCAGGATAATGACCAGGATGAAATACCTCACAGCCTGTAATTTATTAGGTGTAAAACTCCTTGACTGTCTAAGAGTTCAGACGGACGGTGGTGCCTACCCGTCTGGGTAACCACCAATATCTGCCGCCAAATAACAGTGCTTGCTTGCTTTTATTGCTGTGGTCCGGTCTGTACGGTGTAGACAGTCGGTATAACTATACACTGTGAGGAATTCCATCTTAGTTCCTAGAGGTGACAACGGATTTGTGGCCCTATTTGTTGGAAGTTTTTTTTTTATAGGATAGGGTGACAAACGAGCACACAGTCCACCTGATGGTAAGTGGTTGCTGTGGCCCATAGACATCTACATCTATCCTCGTTTGCTAATCTAAATGCAGATACATTGTTACCCGTGCGGACTAAGATGCAATGCCTCTTTTCCAGTAAGAAGAGTCTCCGGATCTCTACACTCACCATACGAAACACAGCAGTGTTAAGCTGTCATTTTACGCTGGTATTCTGTGAGAGCGTGATCCTTTCCCGGTCGAGCCGACCCATTCGTGCTACAATTATACTACTAATATAGCTTCAGCATGGCTCTACCACGTATGAAGTTGGCTGCAAGTGGCCATGAACTCCTCCCCGAACGGATCCGCCTTGTTGGGGCTTGGTAGCCGTGGTTTGGTCACCCGCAGTGTACAAAGAGGAACTTACATGGCTGGCCCGAGGTGTAGGGCCGGCCCGAGTTTGCCACTCCGAGTGGGCTTGGCAAGCTCACTTCGGATGTGTGTTGGTGGGCTGCGGCGGGAGTCCTCTCCCCTTACCGCTGCAGCTGAGGTTGAGTCGCAGAGGAAGAGAAATGTTGATATGGCGATGCCTACTTAAAAAAGAGATGAGGGAGGAGCCCTCTCCCGAGGAGGGGTCGCCATGGGATGACGCTGGTGGGGCCCGCGGATGTGTGCGAAAGCGTTCCCGTGGCCCCGTTAATATGCAACGAAGGTGGCACATGCATTTGGTGCAACTATTCCCTGTTTATGGTAATAAAGAGTTTCAAGTCGTAGAATAAGATGTGTTAAAAACAATAATTCAAATACACATCATTTAAATAAAACTAATTATACGGATTTTATCGCGTATATTAACTTATTTTATATTCCCGACGTTTCGAGTACTTTACAGCACCCATGGTCACGGGGGGGGACTGAGGTGTATGACGTACCAATGTCATAGTATAACCACGGCTACCTCCAGATTAAAATTATTAATTTTTGTTCCGATCTACGCAGAATGAGCTTATAGTATCTTGAAGTCTTGCTTGTATGCTTGGGTTGGGATTTAATTTTATTAATTATTGGATCCCAAGCAGATGGTAGCACCCAGCCATCTTCTCTATTGAAATTAGGATGTTTTTTGATTTCAATAGCCTCGCAAATCATCCTTTGTAGGAATCGGTGTTCTTTAGCGAGGATTTGTGGTCTATAATATCTAATGTAGTGACGGGCGATCTTTTTCTTATTGTTTGATATTAATTTATTCCAGATTTAATTTTTTCCAATATTACCGTTACAGCCTATTAAAGTCCATTGCTGAACATAGGTCTCACCCATAGATTGCCTTATAAGGATCCCCCTATGGTTGTAAGAATATCCACTACCCCATATCGTCTCTTGGATGTCTTAAGAGGAGAAAGGAAACTGAAACAGGAGATGGGCAGCAGCATCTTCCTGAGAACAACTCAAAATTATAAAAAACTGCGGTTGCTAACCCGCCTGCCAAGCGTGGCAGCTATGGCAAAAACCATCTATAAACCTATGAAAATTTATCAGCCTCTGGGGGAGGCCTATGTTTAGCAGTTTTAAAGGCTGTAATGAGGGTAATGATTCTTGGGTAGTAGTACGTAATGGTATCCATACACTTACTGTCATGATTGCAAGCACCATAGTCATTCTATTCATCATCTTCATCATTACAGCCTTTCACAAGTCCACTGCTGATCATAGACCTCTCTCAGGGAATGCCACAAAGCACGGTCCTGAACCACCTACATCCATCGACATCGGTCGCCATACACTTCGCCTACCAGTACGAGGCTGCCATTCGAGAACCTTTCTTCCCCATCGGTTGTCGGTTATTCGAGCTATATGGCCGGCCCATTGCCGCTTCAGCTTACTAATACGTCACTATTGATGTGAAAAATCTTTTTTTGATATATTTTTTGTATTTCTTTAAGGAAGCACTACAAGGCCTCCTGGAACGCGACTCGTTCTTTGCGCCGGAGGTGGATATCTTCAAGGCGGTGTGCAGCTGGTTCAATGCCAACCAGCAGTGGGTGAAGTCCGAAAACGGCATGATGCAGGTTGTAAGTACCAAATATAATAATGATGTCTGCCAGACCGAATTTCGGTCACAGCAGCCAGTCAGGATAGGATTAATAGTGTGCATGTCCAAGCACAGGTGCAATTTCTATTCCCTCACTCCCATAGTCTATTGGACGGTAATTCGACACGACTGGAAAGAGATCGGGTGCAAGACCAACGGCTTTATATGCTTTCTGAGACACAGCGTGATACACCGCCAACTTCCTAACTCCGGGATGCTGTGGAGAATTTCTTGACAGAGAAACCTAATAACAGATTTTGGTCCGACGCTCCTCCTCTTCAGCCTAAAATGGGTCTCCTTCTTCATCAATATGTGCCCCTAAAAAAAACCCAACTGCACATTGGCCTTCCCTGTTGTAGGGACAGTTTAAAAAAATACTAGCAACGCTATTAAAATTACTAATGTTCACTTTAACCACTCCTGGTAAGGGGGTTGTTATAAACTAATTTGCTTAATTCCGCGTAAAGAAAGAAGCTCTACCACCCCCAGCACCCCCACACTAGGCACGACACACCACTCTCGAAATCTTTGGGATTGACGGCGACGGGTATAGTGCGCGCGATTGAGGGAGGGTGGAAGGGTATTTGGGTATAAGCCAGCGCTTAACTACTATCCTACCTGATGGTAAGCTGTGATGCAGCCAAATATTGATGAGTCAATGCAGTGTGCATTGACTCATCAATAGCCTATTCACTTCTTGCCTTGAAGACACCTACGTTGTAATCAGATGGAAAGACAGATGCTGGCAACTTATTCCACTCCTTTACTGTACATACGCATGACCGTTTGGTTCGAAAGCGTTTTAAGACGACAATGAAAGGGTGGAGACTGACCGAGCGTCTGGTTGTCTAATATTGGAAGGGAGAGGGAGGAATTAAGTTATGCAATTCCTGCGCACACTGACGAGAACACTATTGATGGTGCTTTCCGTCGACAGTCTAGGTATTTACATCTGGTGCAAACAAGAATAGACTGCTATCTAGCGAATGTCGTAACGCCTTGTCGGACTAAGTGTTCCAATGTACGCGTAATCTAGGTTTTTTTTTATAGGATAATGGTGACAAACGAGCACACATAGACATCTACATCTATCCTCTACTACAAATCAAAATGTAGATGCGTTGTCACCCGTGAGGACTAAGATGGAATGCCTCATTTCCAGTAAAAAGGACCTCCGGCCACCTGCACTCACCAAGCGAAACGCAGAGGTAAACCTTTACTTCACGCTGATTTTTTGTGAGGTCGTGGTACCACCCCGGTTCGAGCCGGCCCATCCGTGCGACAGCAACAGCTGCCGCGTGGCTCTACCACTGTTAAAATACGCATTTTGAATACGCGTATAGGTGGATACGCGTACAGGACACTTTTATGTGTTGCGGGATTATGAATGCGTGGTGACAAGTCGCGAGTCGGCCAGCCAGTATCCACCATGTCTCGTAACACAGCTGTCGTGTGCACCACCAGTACGGCACTTCTTATTGTGCAACACATTATAAATAAGAAAAAGAAAAGTTGGAGAAAACGTGTTTGCCATGTTTGCAATCCAAATTGAGCGTTCATATCCGCTTTGGGCAACCGAAAGCCGACTGGCGATGACTCGCCGCGAGTCGAGCCGCTCAAATTGTATAAGCATTGCTGCAGGTACGGACTAGTGTAACTGTGTACGCGTAACCGACTTCGCGTACATTGAAACGCTGAGTCCGTACAAGGCTTAAGAAATTTCTAGGGTTACCAGAGGTCCTCTATTTCACACCCATAAATTGATCTTGTTCCCCAATTTGTAAATCTTTAATAGAGGACAAGGCAATATCGCGCTTATTCGACATTCACTCTGCTTGTTGAGCTCTAAGTTGAGTTGCGTATTTACATCGCTTTTATTATTAACAAATGTCGCCAAACTATAACATCATTTTATTGAAAACAATATGATTTTTTCATAGTATAAGGGTGACAAACAAGCATATAGTCCAGCCGATACATATACGTGGTAGAGCCATGCTGCAGCTATTTATGGTTGTAGTACGAATGGGTCGGCTCGACCGGGGAAGGACCACGCTCTCACAGAATACCAGCGTAAAATAGCAGCATTACGTTGCTGTGTTTCGTATGGTGAGTGTAGAGATCCGGAGACCCTTTTTACTGAAAACGAAACATCTTAGTCCTCACGGGTGACAACGCATTTGCATTTTGATTCGTAATCGAAGATATATGTAGATGTCTATAGGCCACAGAAACCACTTACCATCAGGTGGATTGTGTGCTCGTTTGTCACCCTTATCCCATAAAAAAAAGCCCATGGTAACATTTGGGGACATTGAGGGCATTTACGACTTTTTCTTTCTCGAACGTGGCGTTACTTGAAAATGAGGTGAAATATTTGACAGATTTCACAGCTGGGGAAGTTAATTAATTTGTTAGAAAATCGTTTTATGTTTTATATGAATTTTAGATTATAAATGAATAAACCTATCATATCCCGCAAATACTAGAAGAATTTAAAAAAGTTGAAAATGTGAAAAAAATTAATGTGGCGTTTTTTTGTGTGAATATATACATATATACACTAAAAACCGAAAAACTTATATTAGATTGTAACTTTTCAATGATGATCACACTGTGTGACCATCTGCGTGAAAAATAAGTACACCTTAATACCAACTAGCGACATCTGTAAAATTACTAACCGTCATTAAGGAAAATCCTCTCGAACTTTTACACGCTGATAAACAAGATATTTAGCGAATTTTAATGTACGTAAAATGATTACCGTGTAGTGGCGGTGTAAGAATATCCACTAACCCATATCTTTCCGTGGGTGTCGTAAGAGGCGACAGAGGGAGCGTTGGCTTAGAGACGGACTGTGCGGCTATCTATCGGCAGGTCTATGTTCAGCAGTGGACTTAAATAGGATGGAGCGGTAACGGTAAAATAAATCATTGATATTATAGGAGAAGATCCTGAAGTGTGTCCGTCTGACGCTGATGAGCTTGGAGGAGTTGCTGACGGTAGTCCGGCCTTTCTCGTTGGTGACACCTGATATGTTGTTGGACGCCATACAGGAGAAGACGCAGACGAAGAGCACCGAGCTACGTCATCGTGGCTTGTTATGTGGGTTTAAATATTTTACTATTCTTACTCGATGCTATCCTGGTGTAACTTTTTTGGATCACGTCTTTTTCTTTTATAATAAGAGTGACAAAAGAGCATATACTTCACCTGATGATAAGTGGATGCTGTGATCCATAGACATCCATCCTCGATTAAGAATTAAATATAGATGCGTTGTCACTTGTGAGGACTAAGATGGAATGCCTCGTTTCCAGTAAAAATGGTCTCCGGTTCTCTACACTCACCACACGGAACACAGCAGCATTCATTTGCTATTTTACGACGGTATTCTGTGAGAGCGTGGTAGTACCCCGGTCGTGCCGACCCATTCGTGCTACAACTATATTTACGTTTTATATATTTACGTAAATACTATGTTCTACAAAAATATAGATCTTTCCTCAATCTAAAAAAAAGTCCGCGATACCATTTCTCACACTATTTCTTATACATAAGCCACAATAAGGTATTTTGTGACAAGAAATACAGTAAAAGCTCTTTATTCACGGGGTATATGTTCCGTAAATATGCCGCGAATACAGAAACCGTGAATATGGAATGGTAATTTATGTGGGATTATAGGGGATACGTTCCTAGGTGACAAAACAAAATACAAATACTTATTTTTCTGTAATTAGATTCCGAAAAAAATTTATAACGTACACCCTTATAAATTTTTTCGCCCCTAAATTTGACATGTTTAACCGCATCCCGCCGCTTTATGTCCCAGCTTCGCGATGGCAGACAGGCAAATTTATGTTCGGCTTCACCAAAGGTTTCTTTTTTAATACAAATCGACCGTGTACCTGTTACGGACACATTATAAAAAGGGTTTCGCATGGTGAGAGTGTATAATATACTCACCATGCGAAAGACACTACCATAATGTTGTAATTTTACACTGGTAATCTGTGAGAGCGTGGTCCTTCCCCGGACGAGCCGACCCATTCATGCTACAACCATAATATAGCTGCAGCGTGGCTCTACCACGTAATAAAAAGGCAGTCTAAATATACCTTTGGTGATCAAAGAGATATCCCTGTGGGGACTCTTTTCATTAGTGGACTTTAATAGGCTGTAATGTATGGCTTCTTAGTAACCTATTTTGGTAACGTGTAAAAAGGTCTGTGGCGATCTTCGAGAACTAGTAAAAGAACCAAACCCAATTTTCTCTACCATACGAGTACATTAAGGTAGCAAAAAAAGTCTGCCATGCCCTTTAAATTCGTTACGCTAAAAAAAAACGTGTGTAAAAGAAACCTTCAGAAAACGAGACCCAGATAATAGGAAACACTGTATACGGTATTCTATCTCGTTCTCTCACAGGCTAAATCCAATAGATGTATATGTTTGTTTCTTTTTAGTGTCGTTTTTTCGTTTCATCGCGTTTAAAATTACAACGGTTGTAAAGGAGTTTTCACTTTAAAATTGTCTTTCTGTCTGACCGTCTGTTCGTGCTATTCTTTGAAATGGCAAATGTCAAACCTGGGAAGTCTCTAATATGAGAGTCGCTTATGTGAATATTATGTGCACGTTGGCAGTACCGAAAAAGAACGTGGCGACTCTGAAGCGTGGTGATCGTGTACTGTCGAACGACATCCGATCAGCCCGTGCACTTGGCAGTACTTTTATTTATTTATTTGCGAACCCTGATTCTTTTTCTAAAATAAAAGTAGTGTTCGCGCTACTTTAAGACTCTCGCCTTACGCTTATGAGATTGGCTAATTATTATCGAATGAGAGTACTGCAAAGCCCATTTTCGGCTTTCCTATCTACCACCTTTTATGCCTAGCTCCATTTAACTCAAGAGTGCACATACTCTTGAGTTAAATGGAGTGCTCACAAGCTCGCAAGACACAAAAACAATCGCATCGCCTATATCTCGCGTCATCGCTACCGCCTTTGTGGTTAAGATATTGAACTATATAAGAACATCATAAAGTATATAGACAATTGCTATAACGCTATATTTCGCGATAATGTGTGAAGTTTATATGTGAGTAGACAGCTGGCATCCAAGCAACGCGGCCGCAGCCCTTGGTATAGGCAGATTAGCAAAAGTCCAGGTGAGTGCGTGCTTATGCCCAAATTTGGTTATGTTTGAACTCCACCCTATTGCGTTCGAGCTGGCGCGTCACCCGATAGTATGTAGGTGAGATAAACGTCGAGGTGGGGCGGCCGTGTGCGGCTTGCAGTGGCTCGATGCATGGGCGATGATGGAGGAGTTGACCACTGGCCGCGAAGCGGGGAAACCGCGTAGCTGGTTTATTGCGGTCGAGGTTCACGCGACCGTTGTGAAGTCCAGATAGTTAGATTGAGTGCGTGTTACTTCCTTACGTGGATATGTGAATTTTGCACGCGCGCGTCGAGTAGATATACGGTCTAGGATTCGAACCGCGCATTCCTTGTTCGAGAGCTTCTCCCGGTTGATCGTCAGGAAATCATTATAATCGTGCCGTCGCGCCCTTTTTTGTGTGTTGTTGGCTTGTTAGTTTACGTGTCAACGAGGCGTATTTTGAATCTTTTCGCGACGTGGTGTTTAGGTGTCGAATGAAGGAACTTAGTGGTGTTTAACGCTGAATAGTAAGACTCATTAAGAGATCGCTTTAATTCCCTCTTTATAATTTTGTGATAAGTGAATCCGGCACATTGAATGTCGAATTGGAACTACTGTCCTTACTGTGTCGGGTATCACGTGTTCGATTCTACGATGAATGTGGAATTAGGCGAGTTTAAGTTAGTTAAATGTACAATGAAGCTAATAGACTGAAATAGAGACAAGGAAGAAAGAAATGGTCCAGCGGTGGAGCCTGCTGGAGCGATGCAGTTGGGGCAGCCTGGTACTCGGCCGCTGCTGATCGCCTAAGGTGGTCAGGGTCTCACACATTTACACATTACTGAACACTACTTGCCATTCACCTTACACCCACTCACGGCCTGACCGAGCCCTGGTGCGAAGTTAGCTTCTGATACTGGTACGTAATATGTGTTTCTAGCATTCTCCCATATAGCTTAGTGTTATAGGAAATTCTTCCATGTGGCCATTTTGGGCCCGACCTGCGGCTACTCGTGGAATCTTCTGCTCATGGGCCCCGGAAGATTCGACCCTTGCTGGAGCAGCTGTAGGCCGTAATAGTGCGCATGCATGCCTTCACATCCTTCCTGTAGCCCGAATTTAGGGACATTTGCAGTATCGCGAAATAGTAAATTCGCACCGCACCAGAAAGAAAATTTTATCCATAGCTGGTCACTCCGGCCGAAATTAATTTTATACAAAAAGTCTGTTATGCATTTAGTAAAAAGCTGTTATTTAAAGATTACAAACGAACACTTATATATTTGTATAGATTTAAGGACCGTCTAAGATAATTACAATAATACATGTTTCACAAATATATAAATATAATTTAAAGTAAAACCTATTTAAGGAAGTTTTTATTCCAGTGCCGGAGGAGAACGTGGCGACTCCGAAGCGTGGTGCTCGTGTGCTTTCGGGCGACATGCGCTCGGCGCTGCTGGACGGCGACACGGAGAACTACGACATGGAGCGCGGCTACACGCGCCACAACATCAGCGACGCCGCCGACAGCCCCGGCATCCTGGTGCGCCTGCCCGCCAACACCATCCTCAACCACATCCGCCTGCTCCTGTGGGACCGCGACAACAGGTCACTGCACCACCATAACTAACGCCACTATGTTAAACTCTTTATTTGTTAATCATTGTTTTACACTAGTGGTCATCAGTTTACGGTTTCACTATCCTCCAAAGAGCATATAGATTGGTGCAAAAAATAATTACAATAATTTAAAATTAAATAAAAGTACAGTTAAGTAATCAATTTTTACACAAATTAATTAATGGACTTACTCATAAAAATTTACATCAATTTTAAAAAAAAATGCCTAAAATTACTCTCTTTTACGCTTTCTCTCTCTCTCTCTCTCTCTCTCTCTCTCTCTCTCTCTGTAGAGAAACTAACTACTAAACGATTTGTAACGTCGTAATTTGTGGGACAAATCTGGGGGCACTGCGGTACCCCGCCAAGTCGAGCAAAATAGCGGCTCGGCCGTACTATCTTTTTCTCGAAGCAGTTCAGGCCATTTTCGACCCCTATAACATCGTTGTGGATAAAACGAGAAGCCTGAATTAACCAAGCAGGTATTGTATAAACCCGGTATATTTCAAATTTCATTCAATTTGAACCAGTAGTTTAAGACTAATCAAAGTTTCTTAATTTTGTCACTCACTGACTGACCGATCATCAAAACTCTGAGGCACGTATAGCAGACATAGAAGCTTTAAATTTAAAATACAATTAGTGTTTAGTGTATAAATCAAGGAAAAATTAAAATATTTCGCAATTCTCGTCCAGTTTTCTAGATACACCAACTGCATAATTAACTTTGTAATGCCATATAAATATATAGGATTACAAAGTTACATTTGCAGTGAATAAATCAGTGTACTTACTACGTGTATAATATAATAGAATAATAAGTGTAATTAAGAACCTAAATCTAACTATCTTTTTTTATAAAAGAGGGGGCAAACGAGCATGCGGCTCACCTGATGGTAAGTGACTACCACCGCCCATGAACAACTACAACACCAGGGGAATTGCAGATATGTTTGTCGGCCTTTTAGAAAGATGTAAGCTCTTTTTTTGAAAGTTCCTAAGTCGTATCGGTCCGGAAAGAAAAATCGCTGGTACTAATCGATTCCACAAGAAAGTTGTGCGGGGGAGAAAACTTCTTCTAAAGCGCACAGTGGTGGACCGCCAATCATCCCGATGGTATGGATGGTATCGCGAGTTTTGTCGCGATGTGCGATAATGAAATTGAGAGGCTGGAATTAGTCCGAACAATTCCTCAGAACACTTCCCGTGATAGATGCGATAAAATACGCAAAGAGATGCAACATCTCTACGCCGCGCCAATGTATCGAGCCGATCAGAAAGAACTTTGTCGTCGACGATTCAAACCGCTCTGTGCTGGATGCGGTCAAGTGGAAAGAGCTGGCACTGGGGTGCCCCGGGCCAGAGATGAGAACAGTACTCCATGTGAGGCCGAACTTGCGCTTTGTAAAGCAAGCTTTGCAAGCGATGTGCCGGCATGAAATACTGTCTCGCTCTGCTGAGCACGCCAAGCTTTTTAGAAGCCAATTTGATCTTCCCTTCCAAGTGACCACGAAACTGCACACTATTCGATATGTCCACGCCGAGGATTCCGATGCTAGCTGAAGCAGCAAGGGGAGTGCGTTGAAACTGAGAAGATACCATAAAAGGGTTCTTTTTAGCGGTAAACGCGCAAACTTGTGTCTTCTGGGGATTGAACTGGACTAGATTTAGTCGCCCCCAATCCGAGACTTTGTTCAGCAAAGACTCGACTTCAGACACAAGTTTGTCCCAGTACTCGGCGACGTTTTCCTGAGAAATATTGGCACTGCCGGTATATAAGGCATAACCAGTGCTGTCGTTTGCATAGAAACGAATGTTACCAGTTTGCAACATATCATTGATATGCAGGAGAAACAGCGTTGGTGATAGCACGCAGCCTTGTGGAACATCAGCGTTGATAGTCTTGAAATCAGAGCATGCACTGTCTATTACGACCTTGATGCTCCGATCAGCAAGGAAACTGGTGATCCATTTGCACAATTTCTCGGGAAGCTCATAGGAAGGAAGCTTCGAAAGAAGCGCTTTGTGCCAGACACGATCGAAGGCCTTCGCTATGTCCAAACTAACGGCCAATGCTTCCCCCTTGGACTCTAATGCCTCCGCCCTTCTATGAGTCTGGTAGACCAGAAGATCTACAAAAAGAAATTAGATGCCGTAAAAAACATAACTTGTAAAAAAACCAAGTTTCGCAAATCAGTTCTTCTACCGTAAAAAGTTGTGAGATCCATGTAATACCAAGTCGTTTAATTTATTCAGTCGCGACTTAAGGGTCCTTCTGTCTTAAGTTATTACGTAATTAGCTAACTTAACAATATCTTACAGTGACCATATCAATATTAAAAATCTTTTATGTTTTAAATAAATTGGCAATCGCACTAAACAATCTAATTTAATATAATATGTATTGCTTGTGAGATGCATTGTGTTTTCATGATCATTTGATTGATTTTTGACATTGACACACAAACCTAAAATACTTTTATATTATCGTGCAAACTTTGTTCAAATATTTATTGTTCTTCCTTTTCATTAGCCCTTAAAAGTCCACTGCTGAACATGGACCTTTCCCGTTGTGGGGAAGATTTTCCTTAATCATAATGCTTGACAGGTGGAATGTCTGTTGCAGTACCCACACGTACCCCACCTTTAACGGTGCTTCGCTGGTCTGGGTATTTCACTATCACCATGGTTATAACGCTATCTACCGGAAGCCATTAGATAATTAATAGAATCGGGCGTTACTTTGTGGAAATCCATTATAATAAAGTTGAAAAAATTTACTTTACCAATATCATCTCAATAAAATAAAATGATGTGTCTTACCTAGTATGAAGAGTACCTACCGCCCTCCCTCAATTGCGTGTACTATCCCCGTCACCACTATTCTTAGCACCACTACTCCCACCACCACTTCTTCGATCTTTAATATATATAAAATAAATTTTTCCAACTTTAATTTAGGGAAGCTATTAGATCAGAAACAGAAACTCTTTTATTCAATATAGATATTAAATAATACTTATTGAAAGTCACCTTTTTGTTTAATTTACCTCTGGTTTGGAAATAAAACCTCTGTCTTGGGTAGAACTAACAAGAAACCACCCAAGAAAATCATCATTTTGGCATATGTTGTAGTGGAAATAATCAATGGGGCCAAGGATTCTCTTTTTTTTATAGAATAAGGGTGGCAAACGAGCACACAGTCCACCTGATGGTAAGTGGATACTTTGAGGCCTATGGACATCTATGTTTATCCTCGATTAAGAATCAAAATGAAGATGCATTATCACCGCTGAACACTAAGATGGAATGCCTCGTTTCCAGTAAAAAAAAGGGTCCCCTGTTCTCTACACTCAACATACGAAACAGCAGCATTAAGCTGCTATTTTACGCTGGTATTCTGTGAGAGCGTGGTTCTACCCCGGTCATTCTCGACCCATTTGTGCTAAAACCATAAATAGCGGCAGCACGGCTCTACCATGTAAATACTCGTACTTGCGACACTCGTTATGCTACTCAGATCAAAAATCTATTCTTATGCCGCTATTACACGGAAACGATGTACATTAAAATACTTCAAATAAATGTGTTCTCTACAGATCATATGCGTACTACATCGAGGTGTCTGTGGACCAGAAGGACTGGGTGCGCGTGATTGACCACAGTACCTACTTCTGTCGCTCCTGGCAAAATCTCTACTTCGAGGCCAGAGTTGTCCAGTATATCAAACTAGTAGGCACTAGTAACACTGTTAACAAGGTTAGTTTGACACAACTCTGTTAATACTGTAATCTATGGTTATATTTCTCGATAATTTAATATTTTCAGGTTCACAGATCTTAAAACATTTTCATATTCTTCACATTTTTAAAATGTATTAAGATGAAATGTAATTTTTTATGGATGTGAATTTTTTTTTTTAAAAAAAGAGTTACCCCCACACTAGGATTTTCTCCTGTGTCGTGGAGGCAGTTTACAAACATAAATTGCACAAGGACAAACATCCAAACCCGAAACAATTATTTGTAGGCCATACAAATACTTGTTCCGTGCGGGATTCGAACCCGCGGCCCCCAGCGCAACAACTGATTGCTAAGCCACTGCGCTACGGAGCCGTCATGAACATTGCAATAAAGGGAATTTTAGTAATGTTAAAAACATTGCCAGTACTTTTTAATTGTGTGTCCTATTATTTCGGTCGCTTTAAAGATAGTTAATATGAACTTTAAATGTTAAAATGAATAGTTAAAAAAGTACTAAATAAATAAAATTAACCATATTGATTAAAATTATCATATCCAATTCATTTCATTTGGTCATTGTTATTTTGACATCATTGTTATTTTGTAATTTGTATGACTTGACAATGTCTCTGAATGCCGGCCTTAAACAATTACACGGATAATTAATATCTATATGTAATTTAATATAATAAGTATTTAATAGTTAGCAATAAGTCAAAGAAAACGTTTACATGGTAGAGTCATGCTGCAGCTATATTATTTGTATAGTTGTAGCACGAATGGATAGGCTCGAGCGGGGAAGGACCACGCTCTCACAGAATACCAGCGTGAAATAGCAGCTTAATGCTCCTGTGTTTTGTATGGTGAGTGTAGAGAACCGGAGACCCTTTTTACTGGAAACGAGGCATTCCATCTTAGTCCTCACGGGTGACAACGCATCTGCATTTTTGATTTGTAATCGAGGATAGATGTAGATGTCTATGGGTCATAGTAACCACTTACCATCAGGTGGACTGTGTGCTCGATTGTCACCATTTATCCTATAAAAATAATTCAGCACTCAGCAGTTAAGATTCTAGAATAGAATTGAATAGAATAGAATAATTTTTATTCAATATTGATTACATGTAATTCTTTTTGAGTCATTTTAATTTATACCACTGGTTCGGAAAAAAACGTCTATCCTGGGAAGAACCTATAAAAAAAAAACAGCAAGAAACCCGGCGAGACTTTTTTTTTAAAGTATAAATTACAATATGATATTTATACAATCATTATGAAAATATTTTGAAACAGCATGGTAGCGATCACCTCATTCCCAGGGGTTATTATAGTAATCTTCAGTAGTATAATAACCCTTATTAGACAATTTTTGCTTAATAAATATTTTAAACCTTTTCATAGATAAGGTTCTATTAAAATATGCAAATTTTTAATAAAACTAAAACTTAGAAATAGAACTCCACCAGGACTTATAATAATAATAATAATTGGCATCATTCTGTACATAGCTCATTGCTGACCTTTTTTTTATTTGTACCATTTTTATAAGTATATAGTAGTATTTTATAAATATACGAGGTAGTTTTGCTTTGCGGACACAATTCTAAAGTTAAAATTTGGCGATTTAATGTAGTGATGGATTTTCTTATTTCACAAATAGGTCAGCTCGAACAGAATACCAGTGTGAAATAGCAGGTTTTGATCCTGTGTTTTGTATGGTGAGTGTAGAGAACCGGAGATCCTTTTTACTGAAAAGGCATTTATCTTAGTCCTCAGGGGTGACAACGCATCTGCATTTTGATTTTTAATGGATGATATATGTAGATATGTTTGGGCAGCAGATTCCACTTACTATCAGGTAGACTGTGTGTACGCTTGTCACCTTTATCCCGTTAAAAAAATGTTTATTTGTTGTGCAGGTTTTCCATGCGGTGGCGCTGGAGGCGATGTACACGGCGAAAGTTCCGCCGCTGTGCAACGGTCTGGTGCGGCCCACGCACAACGTGGCCACTGTCGACCTGTCTGCCGTCGTCATCGAGGGCATCAGGTGCGGCCCGCTGAATGCTCTGAAGCGTCGTGTCTAGTACACTTGTGTAGTGCTCTCTCTGTGCACCGCTCTGAACGTGTTTCGAACAGTGCGAGCAGAGATCCATAGACCTTTTTTACTAAAAACGAGACGGCATTCTATCTTAGTCCTCAGGGGTGTTCAGATCACTGAACGACATTGAGGTGAGGGAAACGGTTAAACTGGTCTGCTGGTGGCCGCGGCCGCGCTAGCGGAACTTTGGGAATATAAAATAAGTTAATATTCGCGATAAAATCCGTAAAAACTAGTTTTATTTAGACATTAAAAATGTTTGGTAGTAAGAGTAAGTTGGTATGGTTGTGTTGTCAGCCGGTCGCGCAACGCGCTGCTGAACGGCGACACGGAGCACTACGACTGGGAGCAGGGCTACACGTGCCACCAGCTGGGCTCGGGCGCCATCGTGGTGCAGCTGGCGCAGCCCTACATGCTGGGCTCGCTGCGCATGCTGCTGTGGGACTGCGACTACCGCCACTACTCCTACTACGTCGAGACCTCGCTCAACTACTGGCACTGGGACATGGTCGCTGACCGCACCCACGACCACTGCAGGTGCGTCTCACTCATTCTCCACTCATTAATCTTCATCGCTCATAACAGTAAAATAGTGGGAAGTATCTGGGAGATAAAGCTTTGCTCGGCGTAAGAAACATTTTTAGGGATAAAAACTATATAAACCTGGTTAGATGGTACCTGACGCCTTATTGACACAGAAGAAATAATTGTAGAAATATAATTTTAAATTTGGAAAAGTTATATTGTTTAATTAATTAAAAAATTCAAATAAATTTGTCCTTTGCGCAAGTACGAGTAATAAGTTAAAAAAAATTCTATACGTGGTAGAGCCATGCTGCAGCTATATTGGTAGTATAGTTGTAGCACGAATGGGTCGGCTCGACCGGGGAAGGACCATGCTCTCACAGAATACCAGCGTAAAATAGCAGCTTAACGCTGCTGTGTTTGCTGTGTGAACCGAAGACCCCATTTCACTGGAAAAGAGGCATTCCATCTTAGTCGTCACGGGTGACGACGCATCTGCATTTTGATTCTTTATTGAAGATAAATGTAGATGTCTATGGGCCACAGCAACCACTTACCATCAGGTGGACTGTGTGCTCGTTTGTCACCCTATCCTATAAAAAAAAAAACGGTATGGCAGCACATAAAATACTAATAAACAAACATAATTTTTTGTACAGGTGACTTCAATATAAGTTATTAAGAATAACTCAAATAACACAAAAACTATTGGTCTGACCTTGATCAAATTCATATGGGACCACACGAGAAGTATCAGCTTTCATATAAAAAAATAATCATCGAAATCGGTCCATCCAGTAAAAAGTTATGAGGTAACACACATAAAAAAAAACATACGCGTCGAATTGAGTACCGTCTCCTTTTTGGAAGTCGGCAGAAAATAAAGTAAAATAATAAGTTATATATTTGTAAAAATAATAGTCATTTTTAAAACATAATTCGAAAAATCTATACTCAGCCATATTCTTTAAAATCCCGTTACTACAAATCTTTTTTTTTAATATGTAATCCTGAATAATGCTTCTGTAAGTTGTTGCCTAAAATTTAAAGTCAACTGCTCCAGCTTGGAAGAAAATTTCACTTTTAGCACAACTAAGTATTCAAAGTTAATACTTCGACCAATTTTAACTGACTGTACTGAAACATATGTAGTACGCAAGTTTGGTTTGACTTTAAAAGTTGGCGCAATTGATAAGAATTCTAAAATGGTATGATACTTTCTAATTGTTTCTTGGACAATTTTTATTTTGTAAAGTAACTCAGTTTTGAACACTTTAATCTTACTTAAAATTATTCTGTGACCAAGGAATTCCTCACGGCCGCAACTTTAAGATTCTAGTTTGAGTGAGATGTAGAGAGACGGAGAGAGTAATTTTATGAAGTGCGAGCGAGACAGATAGTAACGCCACTTTATTAGTTTGTGAGACTGATAGATATACACCATTCGAATAGTGCGAGTGAGACCATAGCCGCTGTTGTCCATATTCACTAACGCACAAACAATACAGAGCAGTACGTTACGCTTCGTTGTTTACTGCGCATCTTTCCGAATTCGTTCGTGACGATTTAGTACTTACCCCCTTTTTCTTTGTTTATTGGACTTGATTGCTTGTGATTTGGATTTGGACTGTTTAGTATTTCTTTCTGACGACCTTTGCTTTTCCATGGACTATCTATTATTATGTGTATTATTTTGTGATCTTTCCAAGATCTTCGGCAATGTTCACCATAAGACATTTGTTTATGTCCAAAAATAGGCATTTTGAGACAGCACCCAATCACCTTCGACTTTGTCGAATCACCCGATGGTGTCGAGGCGAGGTAATGCCGACGGCGGGGGGAGGCGGCCGCATGCCGTGGGCAGTCGCTCAACGCGCTGGCTGAAAACAGTAGCTCGCTGGCAGCTGTGCAGTTAATTAGCATACCTCGGTTGCCGCTACCGAGGTTTCGCGCGACCGATTTTGGGGTTACAGTCTCGATTTTTAGAATTTGTGCGCGTGACTTCGCTACGTAATTGTGTTTCGTGATAACCGCCTCGTTTTAGGTTGTCTAGGGTTTAAGTTCTTGACAAGAGGCTTGTATTGTGTTTAACTGATTAAAGTAACTTCTTTGAAAGTAATTGTGCAAATTAGATAGTGAATGCGTTTTGAAGTGCATTTTGTAATATTTAACTTGTTCGGGTGACGTGGAATTTTGCGCGCGGGCCGATTAGAGATACGGTTTAGAATTTGGACAGCGCAATCCTTTACCGAGGGCGTCTTCCTGTTGATTGTTTGGAAATCATCATTGCAATTGTGCCGTCGCGTTAAGTGCCCTTTTTGTGTGTTGACTGTTTTGTTCATTTTACGTGTCAACGAGGCGGAGTTTGAATTCTTATCGCGGCGTAGTATTTAGTATCCAACGAAGGAACTTAGTTGTGTTTAACGCCGAACCGTGTGAATCCGGGACATTGAATGTTGAACTTTGAACTACTGTCTGTTACTGTGTCGGGTATCACGTGTTTGATTCTACGATGAATGTGGAATTAGGCGAGTTTAAGTTAGTTAAATGTACAATGAAGTTAATAGACTGAAATAGTGACATGAAGAAAGAAATGGTCCAGCGGGGAAGCCTGCTGGAATGATGCAGCATTGTGGGGCAGCATGGAAATCGGCCGCTGCCCGTCACCTCAGCTGGGCCAGGTCTCATACACATACACATCACTAAACACTACTTTCCATGCACCTTACACCCACCTACGGCCTGACCGAGTCTTGGGGCGGTCTTAGATTCGGATACAGGTACGTACTAGATTTTTCTAGCCTTCTCCCTACAGTTTAGTATGATAGGACATTTTTCCATATGGCTATTTGGGTCCGACCCGCTTCTGCCCGTCGAGGAGGCTGCTATAGGCCCCAGCCAAGGCGACCTTTGCAGGGGCAGCTGCGGGCCGTAACAACATTAATCAGGAAACTACAGTACTATGTTGTCAAGAACACAGTGTTTATACTTATTATTTCATATTTAAGAAATAGAACGCAGAAAGTTATTATCAATGGTAAAAGTTCTTCCGGGTCACCAGTACCTCCGGGTGTCCCTCAAAGCTCAATTCTCGGCCCCTTCCTATTTCTAGTGTATATCAATGACTTTATTTGCCTTTTACGGGATAATCATAATATAGTATTACGAGTATTAACTGATGACATTTCTTTGATTTTTAAACTTAAACGCCAATCATTTAAATATGACAAAGTGAATAATGCTATATCAAAATTAATTGGTTCAACGTTAATAATCTACATTTAAACGGAAATACAACTAAATGTATTAAATTTACAACATTGAATGTTATAAATCTGAATACCAATGTGTTTTAAATGGGGAAGAATTGAGCCCTGAATGAAATAAAAACTGAATTCACTGTTTTTCATGGCATCACTCACGACGTAAAGCTTCAGTGGGGCTTACATATATTCCAACTAGCAAGCAGACTAAGTTCTGCAGCTTATGCTGTAAACAATATTAGAGGTCTCACTAGTTTCGAGACAGCTAGTTTATTTAAATAAAATTAAATAAAAGCCAGCCCATTTAAATAAAAGCTTGTTTTTAAAAATAGTTTTTTACTTTTTATTTATTTTTAACTTTTTAGTTATTGCTGGAAAGGTTTCTCAGCCTGTTCATCTCATTCAACGCATCATTGTTGCAAGGCCGTTTGTCGGTTAATTTCGAACAGTCTAGCTTTTCAATAAGGAGACCTTTTAATGATTTTACCCTACTTAAGGTATGCTTGATCAACAGCGAAGAGCTTCAAACCTAAGTATACAACGGCATAGTCGAGAGTACTACCCTACATTTTGTATTGTAGTGTATTCTCAGCAAGTCCTTTCATTTGATACCAGTATTGTAGGAAAGCATAAAAAATCTAGTCCACCATCTTAAGAAGTCCGCCATATTGGATTTAAAATGACGTCACTTTATTTTTCCAGTTATACTCTAGCAAGCCCTTTCCTTTGATATCCATATTGTAGGAGTGCATTAAAAATAACAAGTCCGCCACCTTGGGTGTTCCGCCATGTTTGATTTAGAATGACGTCACACAGCTAACCATGCATTGTCATCCAAACTTAACGTGTATATAAAATTTCAACGTAATCGGTTGAAGATATCTGCTTTAAAATTGAGTTGCAAGGTTCCACCCGAACAAACATGGTTACAATGCAAGTTAAATAAAAGCTTGTAAAAAGTGATATACACTGTAAACACTAGGAACAAACACAAGCTAAAGATACCAGTTTCTCGACTCCACAAAGTCAGTAATTCATTCTTGGGGTAATGTATACAACAAAGTCCCAGAAAATATCCGAAGTCTCTATTACCAAGTTTAAATACTTAATTGAACAAAAACTGCATAATATGAGTTATTATAATATAATAATCCCTCGGAATGAGGTGGTCGCTTCCAAGCTGTTTCTAAAATAAATTTTGTAAATAGTTTGTACAACCATTCATGTAAAATTTACTTTAACAAAAAGATACCGCTGAGTTTCTTACTGGTTCTTCCCAGGACAGAGGTTCTTTTTTCGAATCAGTGGTAAAGTAAAAATGACTTTCAATAAAAAATTACACATGTGATCTATATTGAATAAAAATTATGCTATTCTATTCTATCGCTGATCATGTGATTGTGTAGTGCCATCATATCTGTGTATACCACACAGGAATATGCCAACATGCATTTTATTTATGGGGAATGCAGAGGCAATGCTAGTGCCGCAGCTAGAGTTTATCGTGAGAGGTACCCAAATGCTCGCGTCATCCGGATCATCTACTTTTTTTTATATAGGATAGGGTGACAAACGAGCACACAGTCCACCTGATGGTACGTGGTTGCTGTGGTCCATAAAAATCTACATTTATCCTCGTTTGCGAATCAATACAGACGCGTTGTCACCCGTGAGGACTAATATGGAATGCCTCTTTTCCAGTAAAAAGGGTCTCCGGTTCTCTACACTAACCATACGAAACACAGCAGTGTTAAGCTGCTATTTTACACAGTATTCTGTGAGAGCGTGGTCCGTCCCCGGTCGAGCCAACCCATTCGCGCTACAACTAGACTACTTATATAGCTGCAGCATGGCTCTACCACGTAAAAGCGTACTTTTTTACAAATGTGCATTGTTTACTCACAGAGGGCAGATAATCCCTAATTATAGCCCGTTTTTAGCTTTACGTCGATTTCTGGGACAACCTGTACATTAAACTCTAATATATATAAATATCATCACAGGATAATAATATTCTGGGCTAATTAATCCTTATACGAAGTGATCTTAAATGGAAATAAAAAATGTGTATAGAAAATAACTATAAATACAATATTACAGGTCGTGGCAAGTGATTTACTTCTCCCCGCGTCCCGTTTCCATTATACGCATTGTCGGCACACACAACTCTGTCAATGAGGTAAATTATAATTGATTATATAAAAAATATTTTAACTTTGTTTTTGAAAGTGTTACTGAATTCCACTGTGAAACAACATGAACAAGACAAGACAAGAATGTTTACCATATGATTTACCGCACGTTTTCATTTTAAAATAAAAAAGTGTGATTTAAAAAAAAATGTCATAAATATACATTCTCTTTCAAATCTAACCTAAGTGGTTCATTATTCACTGATGAAGCGCACCGGAAGAATACTCGTATATAATTACAGACAGACTTGCAGACAAGACGTTGTAATCTATTTATACTAACACCCCGAAGTGTAAGAGAGGCTCAGAACTGGAACGTGATAAAATTGTCGTCATTGAATTTCAATAACAATTTTGGTTGTTCTTGATGTGCAGGTGTTCCACCTGGTGCACTTGGAGTGCCCGGCGCAGGTGGAGGAGCCGCGCGACGACCCCGCCGCCAAGAAGCAGCGCGCCGACGTGCCCGAGCGGCCCTCGCGGCACAGCTCCGCAGGTCAGCACCCCTGGATAAATGTACACCCACCCCCTCCCCCATGCTGAAATCCTCGCGGCACAGCTCTGCAGGTCAGCACCCCTGGATAAATGTACACCCACCCCCTCCCCCATGCTGAAATCCTCGCGGCACAGCTCTGCAGGTCAGCACCCCTGGATAAATGTACACCCACCCCCTCCCCCATGCTGAAATCCTCGCGGCACAGCTCTGCAGGTCAGCACCCCTGGATAAATGTACACCCACCCCCTCCCCCATGCTGAAATCCTCGCGGCACAGCTCTGCAGGTCAGCACCCCTGGATAAATGTACACCCACCCCCTCCCCCATGCTGAAATCCTCGCGGCACAGCTCTGCAGGTCAGCACCCCTGGATAAATGTACACCCACCCCCTCCCCCATGCTGAAATCCTCGCGGCACAGCTCTGCAGGTCAGCACCCCTGGATAAATGTACACCCACCCCCTCCCCCATGCTGAAATCCTCGCGGCACAGCTCTGCAGGTCAGCACCCCTGGATAAATGTACACCCACCCCCTCCCCCATGCTGAAATCCTCGCGGCACAGCTCTGCAGGTCAGCACCCCTGGATAAATGTACACCCACCCCCTCCCCCATGCTGAAATCCTCGCGGCACAGCTCTGCAGGTCAGCACCCCTGGATAAATGTACACCCACCCCCTCCCCCATGCTGAAATCCTCGCGGCACAGCTCTGCAGGTCAGCACCCCTGGATAAATGTACACCCACCCCCTCCCCCATGCTGAAATCCTCGCGGCACAGCTCTGCAGGTCAGCACCCCTGGATAAATGTACACCCACCCCCTCCCCCATGCTGATATCCTCGCGGCACAGCTCCGCAGGTCAGCACCACTGAAAAAATATACACCCAACCCCCTACCGCAGGCTGCAATCCCCTCGCGGTACAGCTCCGCAGGTCAGCACCACTGAACAAAGATACACCTCCCCCCTACCGCAGGCTGCAAACCCCTCACGGTACAGCTTCGCAGGTCAGCACCACTGAAGAAATTTACAAACCCCCCTCCCCCCTCCCGCATGCCGCAAAGCCCTTTGCGACGCAATTCCGCAGGTCACCGCCACTGAATAAAAGTACAAGTACAAGTAAGTGCTTTACAGCAACTCATGATTACGGGGGGACCAACATGGTCATGGGTTGCTGTAAAGCACCCGAAACGTCGGGAATTAAAATAGTAAATTAAACGCGATAAAATCTGTAAAAAATTGTTTTATTCAATATGTAGTGTTCGCGTAAACATAAACTTTGTCTCTGTTTGTGATTAATGTAGGTGGCAGCATGAGTCCTGATCGTGCTCGTCCAGCATCTCCCACGGGCTCCGCTGGCTCTCTGGGCTCGGCGAGCTCAGCCGGATTGGCTCGCTCTGCTGGCTCGACGGGATCGGCTGGCTCTCGCCGCAGCATTCCGCCGGCCGAGACCGCCAAAGAAGCCGCCGAAAGTTACGACGATTGAGCCCGTTTAATTAGACTGCATTGCACTTGCGTCTGACGTTGACGTAGATAAAATTTTGTAGGGGTTCACTTGAAGAGAGGCGACATCTACAAGTAACTCGACCTTTATGTATCTTTATTAACGGTGTCAGCCCCCCTTTCCTCTCACTTTCTTTTAGCCGCACCAGCGGTATATCATATACGGACAGCGATTGCGACTACAAATACTTCTTTGGTATAAACTCATACGATTGAAATATTCGAGTCAAAATCATTTCGAAGTTTATTATCGTTTCAAAGTTTCTCTCAGTATAGTAAGTGACTTGTTACTTTACTAATAATAGTTATTGATCAACGATTTTTTTGCTTTACTATATGCATACATACTCGCGTTGTTACCTTATTAATAATTAAATGTCAAGCACTGGCTTAATATAAGTAAAAAAAAAATGTGGATGTTTCCCGCCACACAACACTGTACAACATTGTACAAAAAAAGAGTTTTTAATTTCATCCTATACTTTTTGCACACCTCGAATACCAAGCGAGACAAGTTAGGCTACCCGCTTTCATTTAAATGTATGTAATGCAATATCTTTATAATCTTACCGATTTTTATAATCAAATCTTAATTTTTAACCTCTGAGGTTTCGGCATTATATTGGGCCAACTTATTCAGACCTATGGTCAGGCCAAGGTCAATATTTTTTTTTCTCAAAACCAGACTTTCAATTAATGTATTGTATGGAACCTATACGGCATTAATAACAGCGCCATTGAATAAACTACGTTGACTTCGCAGGTCGATGTAGTATTTGTCTGACCGTGTAGATGGCGCCTTTACACATTGATTTCAATTGTAAAAAAACAACATAGAAGTTTAAAATCAATAGATACAAAATAAATAGGTGAATACTCCTATTTTAGAGGTTTTAAAATAAATTGGTAGCTTGAAGTAGAAATCTTTTAAACAAATTTTACAAATGAAATAATTCTGTAACAGCGCCATCTACACGTTCTATGAAGTATACATCGACCTGCGAAGCCGAGATAGTTTTAATAGTAAAGTAGCATAATGGCGGAAGGGCGTGATTTAAATTCTCTTGTATAATTCTTATAAATAACATTTAAAAAAGAATTGTTCTGAGTACTCTATGGTTCTGAGGGTTCTACAAACTTAGCATTATGCAATCCGATATCTCAATAAACTCAATAAGGCCCGCCACATACATACGGAATTCCGTTTTGGGATTCCGTTTCGGAATTCCGAACGGGTCAGCCACACATACGGAATCCCGTTTTGCCCGCAAAATTTCGAAGGGAAAAATACCGTACGTGTGTGGCGGGTCGCGTGTGTGGATGTTCGGGATTCCGAATCAGAATATCGAAACGGAATCACGAAACGGAATTCCGTATGTATCTGGCGGACCTTAACCTCAGCAGAGCGATGGTGTAATTCTGGTAGGAATCATGGTTGACTTGGTTTAGACATTTTGTTTTGTTGTATTGCGCAAATGTATCAAATATATTGAATATAAGCAAATGCATAATCAAGCATATCTTATTTCAGGTTACAAAATATACTGATTCCAAACGACAATGTTTACAGAGTTTAATGTATTCTTTTTGGCTGAATGACCTGTAGCCAATATGACAATAAATGAAAAAAATCCCAATTGTAAATGTTTCCCGCCAAATCTACACAAGCGCACTGCTGTCACTTTTCTTCGTCTATGATATGGAGGTAAGGAGGACTATCTCATATGGGAGAAAAGATGAAAAAGTGTACAGCTGTAAATAATAGTTCAAAAAGCTTACAGAATGGTGCAAGCGCAGATACGGAAAGTTTATGGATAGATGGAGCTATGGTATGATCGCTGCAGTTGTAGATGGATAGAATGATAGTATAATTGCAGTGTGCCTATTTAAAAAAATATTTTTAAAAGATTAATTTTTTTTATGCCACTAAAAATAATTAACGTTTTTATGATTTATTCTAATATTTTTATTCGAAAATAGACACGTGATTTTTTTATCATTGTGTTTTTGATGAACTACAAAAAACAAATAGAATAGAAAATAGGAAACAATAGAATTAATATTTAATTTAGAACAAAAATTTATTAATTTAAAAAGATTATTTTAAAAATTAAATAATTAGTTAAAAATTTACCCTGCTGCTACTGTAGCGCCACTTTAATGTAACGCATTTCGACGGACACTTTCATACACAAAGGTAGTCCTCCTTACCTCTATTCTTCATAGTCTGTGACTGCTACTGGTTTATCGTAAATGAAGTGGGCATATATTCTTGCAGTCCCTTTCAAAGCGGAATCTCTGCAGAAATACTTTTGTAAACTCAAACATCTTCCACCACTTTAACAAAATTTGTTTTTCTACCATAGCATTTCATATCTCCCAAATAACCTTGCATTATCTTGGCTCAACCCATATTCAATTAACTACTTTTTATTAAAAAAGACTATTAAACTTATAATTTAAAATTTTACATTTATTAAATTGTAATATGATTTATTTATATAATGCATAGTATGTGCATAAGTGTAATCAAAAGGAAGATATGATGTGTCAGGACATTGCATAATCGAAGACTGGACTGTGTGCATTATGAAGACAAGAAATACAGAGTAAGAAAACAGTTTGTATGACGTCGAATCTCTCTCTAAGCGATAGAGTCAGTTAGGCGTAGTTTTCTTGGTCCACTTTTACGGCTATGTACCGTATTTTCCTTTTTTTTCTATGTGTAGTGATGTACCCTCGTGTGTTGTCATATAATGGCATTGTATATATCTACGTTATTTATATCTTTAAGAATAAATTAGTTGCATTAGAAATAATGAAATCACGCATATAGTGTAAATATATTTTTGTATCTTAATAACATACCAATAAAAACCAGTTTAAATGTCACCAAAATAATTTTATTCTTATTTCCAAGATTTAAAGTCTATTTACGCTTGTTTCAAGACTAACAGTACTAAAGATTTCACTTAAGAATCGTACATTAATATTTAATTATAATTTTATTAATAATTTTTTGTATTTTGTTGTAATTACTGACTTATTATATTTGTGTGTGATATACCTTGATTGTTTTTACATCACAAAAATGTGGAATTCAATTTATTAGATGTAAGTTCAGTTTTCACCTACTCAAATTTGTTTGGTATAATTAAGTAAAATCGTTAAATCCTTTCGTTGTAATAATAATTATGTGTAACAATGCAGAAAATCGACTGAAAGACTGTATCCAAGGTCAAAAAAAGCTGAAAAAGAAATTTATCTATGTTCGAAGAAGGCAGTATAGTTAACAATTTTTTTATTTGTAATTTACAGACGGCGCGCCTGTTTATTTTTTTCTGTAATATGTACTTTCAACATAAAAAGTTAAAAGTACCGACTGACACATACGTCCACTACTGAACATAAGCTTCCCCCGTAAATGGCGTCATAGGAGGGATACCTGACATAATTGCCACCCTTGGCTTGCGGCTTGGTAACCGCAGTTTTTTTTAGTTATTATTAGGAATATGCCGCTGCCCGTCTCCTGGTTTATTTCCCTCAGTCGCCTGTCACGACATACACGAGTTGTCTTTTTTAACCGACTTCAAAAAGGAGGAAATAATTCGACTGTAGGTTTTTTTTGTGTTACCTGTAACTTTTTTCTAGGTGAACCGATTTTGATTATTCTTTTTTTTATTTGAAAGCTAGTAGTTTTTGAGTTACCCTTAATTAATTATATTGAAGTCGGTTGTACAAAATTATTAATTTCACCACTTGAAAGAGTTCAAAAAGAAAAAGTATTTTTCGACGCGTATGTTTTTTTTTAATTAATGGCTGAACAGATTTAATAATAAACACTTCAGTGGCGATCCCACTTAAGTTTAAAGAAAAAAAATCCATTCCTAAGAGTGGAAAATATGGATGAAAATTGAATAAAACGGGAAAAATTTATAACTATATAATATACGACTTTGTAGTTGTTACTTTTAGTTGTGATATTCTTTAGACCACTCAAAAGGGTAAAACAATTCAACTTTTAATAGAAAGTACAAACCGACTGTAAGATTAATAATTATAACTTTTAACGAAAAGCAAAAATCGACTTCAAATTGCTAAATAAGAAGTTATTTGCTAAACATAGGGTTGGATTTTTTCTCCAAATTTATATGGGAACAACCTTGAAGTATAACATATTTAATAAAATAAGAATCATCAACATTGGTTCACAATCTGAGAGGATATCGCGTAACATATACCTACATACATAAAACATACACTCTAATTGCGAACCTCCTCCCTTTTGAAGTCGGTTAAAAATAATTTCCATATAATAGCTTTCTAAATTCAATGCTTTAATTCTTCGGTACAAATTATTATTCGTATTCGAAAAATATTTTCAATATTTATTTGTAATTTTTATAAATTTGTTAATTATTTATTATACTTTATGGTATCGCCGTGTAGTGGCGGTGTAAAAATACCTACCCCATATCGTCTCGTGGGTGTCGTTAGAGGCGACGGAGGGAAATTGAAACAGGCAATGGGCAGCAGCATCTTCCTGAACTTAAAATATTTTTAAAAAAAACTACGGTTGCCAAGCGAGGCAACTATGATTCCGCTATGAGGCAATCTATGGGGGAGGCCTATGTTCAGCAGTGGACTTTCATAGGCTGTAACGGTAACGATGTATTTAGGGTTCAATATCTGTTTTCTATTAATGTGTCAACACTGACTTTTTATATAGAACGGGGTATAGAGTCGTTGCCAGGTAACTTTGATAATTAATAACTTGCATTAATGAAGCTGTAACTATTCACGTTATTGATAAAAGTTTGTAGGTTACTTTAGTCATTAGTATTGTACGGTTATTTAAATAATCATGCACTGAAATAAGTGATCAGTCTTTTCTAAAATATAGAAGTTTTACAGAGATGTCTTCTGTTAGTTGTTTAGTGAGTAGGTTTGCATTTTCTAGTCTATCCTTGATTGGTTCGAAAT